TTTCAATTCACAGTCACTTGTATCTGTTGTTTCTGTGTCATCATGAGACTGAAAATCTTGGCAGGGAGCACAAAATACAAAAAGGCCCTCAGTTCACAGGAAAAAGGGAGGAGGGACAGAGCAGGCTCATCCTGGGCACAACTCTTGGTATCCTCTTCCCCTAATTTGGTGCCACCACGTACATTCTCCACCAGTTTCTAATAGTCCATCCAACCATGGACCCATTGACGGGTTGACCCATCACTTCCCAGAAACCAGTCCTGTAAACTCTGGGATCAACCTTTGAATGCATGAGCATTTGCAAATACTTCAGATCCAAATCATAATATCTGGGCTAAAATACTGCACCATGCTCTACTGATGTGTGTAATTATCACATGTTAATGGAAATATAAACAGTAAAAGCATTATAACTTCATAAAAATAGGGACAGAAAACTAAAACAACTTCATATTGATTAGATATAAATTTGCTAACATTAGTTGAGTATTCCCAGGCATTATCAGACACTATCATAATAATTATCACAAGATAATGGAATTGTAAACAGTAAAAGCATTATAAATGTTCATAAAAATAGGGACAGAAAATATGGAAAACTAAAACAAGGGCATATTGATTTGACATAAATTTGCTAACATTAGTTGAGTGTTCCAGACCCTATCATATTATCAGACACTATCATAATAAATTCACTGCTGCCTTATTGAGGAGTTACTATCTACCACATCCATTTTACTGATTAAGTAACTGATTAAATAGTGAGGTTAAATAAAGTGATCAAAGTTACATAGCTTGTATATGCTGAAGTCAGAATTCAGCCGCAAGGTACAGCAAGAACCTGATCATGTGGCCGCCAAAATTCGATGCATGGCAGTTTTGATAAAGGGATAGAAGTCATAGAACATTGGGCCTGGAGAGATGGCTTGTTGGTTAAGATCTCTTCCTGCTCTTACAAAGGACTCAGATTTGTTCCTCGCACCCATGTAAGGCTGTTCATGAGCACCTGTAACTCCAGCTCCTGGAATTACCCCCACTAGGTCTTTTCCAGAACCTGCATGTGACATCTATACACAAAAACATTAAAAAATCTTTTTATAAAAAGACATACAGTTTTGAGGGATTAGTCATCTAATGTCATAAGCATTAGATATTGCTTATGACAACCCCTTCTGTGTTTTCTGTCTTGCCACATTATGAATAACTTCCTGATTCATGCCTAGATTGGCCCATTTTGATAAGTTATAGAGTCACTCTGCCTTAAAAGCCTCCTCTGTATTTCATAATTCAAAAGTGTGGAAGGAAAATTGGAATTTATTACATTAGGTCACCAGGGACCTCTGAGTGTGTGGAGAAGTGGAATCGGTGGGGAACATTTAACTCTTTTCTCCATCCACCACTCTTGAGAATAATTAACTGGAATAGGAAGTATCTGCTAATTGCTTTTCCCTCCTCCATACTGTACCCTAAGGAAATTTAAGAGACACTGTAGTTGGAACCAACTTCCTTGCAGCAATGACCAGTAAGAACCATGCCCAAAATACAGAACCTAGGGAATGTTGAACACTCATTATGATGTTGGTTTCTAATTTTTGAGAGACTTCTACACACATCTGGAGACTAGAGCACTGCCCAGGAGGAAGGAATCGACTACATTGTATCCACAATCTCACTGAAGCACACCTGTAAGGTGCTACACACTCCTGAGATATCTGTGTGAGTACAATCTGAATAGGTGCAATGTTCTTTCTGCTACCAAAGGCTTTGGGGTCTGTTTTTCCTTCTTTCTGTAACCCTGTTCTCTTATGCTCTTTACTTAAAGATAGCAGACAGCTAGTTTTGATGTCCCCTCCTCCTCTTTTTCAAGAAACCTATGAGATAATAGTAATTTCAACAAAAGAAGTGATTCCCCTAAAAAATGTCTAACAGAGTTTCAAACATCAGTCTGTGGATAAGTGAGAAACGGAGAATAGGGAGGTTTTCATGTAGTCTACTACCTTGATGACAGGACAGACTATTTTTGATACCAAGTCATCTCAGTTTCCCCTATTAATCTAGCTAGCAATCTATCTTCATATATTCATTATTTATTCATTATTAATACCCATTTCTGAGCGCCAACTAGTTACTTTGTACTCTCTGCATATACTTCAAGTTTTTACAAAAGCCCAAAACTTGTAATTATTCTTTATTAATAAATGAAGCAAAAGACTCATCCAAACATGATGAGATCAGCTAAGAGTCCCAGAGATGGCAAAAAGTGTCCTCAAACATGCCCTGCTCCTTAGCATACAGTTTACCATTTCCTTTTTATTTATTGGGGGCACTGAAAACTTTTGCTTAATATGAAACAGATGAATTAATGTAATTCCTTGATATTTTCATAGAGTCTTATGATTCTGTGTCCCCTCGGGTATTTCTTACTGTTTATCAGTACAGTTCTGAATAACATTTATATTTGTGATTACACAAAGTTCCATTTTCTGAAACGTAGATATTAAATCAGTTCCCAGGGTTTATTTTAGTGTATACTGCTTTAGTTAAACTCTCATGTAGTGACTGGCATGTTCTTCTGGACCTTCAATATAGATATTCAGGCATGTAGCACAATGATTAGTACTATTGTTTTTTCTTACTTTTGAGATTACACTTTAATTACAATATTTTCTCTCTCATTTCCTCCCTCCAAACCTCCCATATACCTCCCCCTGCTGTCCCTCTAGCTCATGACCTTATTAAAAAGTTGTTATTACATACATATGTATCTATATATGCACACAGATATATTTCTAAATGTAACCTGTTCTGTTTCTTTAATAAGTTCTATGTCTAAAATGAGGTATTGATTTATTTAGATTCCTACTTTACTTTACAAAATAACAGTGGAATACAATGAAAGCCCTGAAAATTATCTGTAAGGAACTTAAATTTTTATTATTATTTCTTCTATTGAAAATGGATTTTTTCTAATATATTATTTCCTGATTATGGTTTCCCTTCCCTTTACTCCTCCTAGTTCCTCCCTACATCCAGATCCACCTAATTTTTGACTCTCACTAGAAAAGACACAGACTTCTAATGAAACAAAATGAAATGAAATAGGATAAAACAAAAACTAACTGATTGGAATAGGAAACAAACAAGCAAACAGAAGAAAAAGAGCCCAAGAGATGGCATGAAAAACAGAGACCCTCTGGTCTGCACACCCAGGAATCCTATAAAAAAACACTACCCTGGAAGCCATATTATATACACAAAGGACCTAAACGATAAAAAGAGAAAAAATTAAAATACATAAATAGGATAGAACAAAAAAATAAAAAGAGTAAAATAAGACAAAAGGTCTGATGTGACATTAAAAGACAAGGAAACTCCAAAGATGCCACTGAGTTCGTTTCCTCTTGGCCATCTACTGCTGAGCATGTGACCAACTTGTAGTAATTTCTTTCTCCTGTGAGACTCCCTTGGAACAAGCTAAATTTTTACTTGAAAGTGACTGACATTTGGAGATAGCTTCTGTGTTAGGGATGGGGTCATATACCCACTTTTTTTCAGCTCTAGGACCCCATCAGGTGTGGACTGGTGCAGGCCCTGAATCATGATGCTTGGGCTCTATGAGTTAATATGTGTATCCATCCTACTTATTTAGAGGGCCTAGATTTCATTGGTGAATAAGTTTTAAATTTAGCTGGGAAACCTGCATGGGGCTGATCTAGGCCCTCTAAATGTGGGTGACAGTTATGTGGCTTGATCTGTTCTGGGGAGAGGAGCTTGCAATGGAACCAGAACCAATCCCAGGGGCATGAACTGGCTGTTTGGAGCTCACTCCCTGTGGTGGGATGCCTTCCTCAGCCTTGATACAGGTGAGGAGAGGTGTGGCCTGCCTCATTTTGGTATGCTAGACTTCGTGGACTCCCCAAGGAAGGCTGTATCCCCACTGAGGAGTGGATACAGGGTGGGAAGGAGGAAGTGGGGACAGGAGAAAGGGAGTGAGGGGGAACGGGGTTTGGTATGTAAAATTCAAAATACATTTTTAAAGAAAAAATTAAATAGAAGTATATCACTTTCTTTCTCCCTTTTCTCCATCCAGTCCCTCCCAGCTATCCTATCTGAAACACTCTCATATCCTCCCTCTCTCAAGTTGATAGCTTCTTTTTCTAATAGTCATTGTGTAGTTCTTTACAGGTTTTTCCCCTTTGAGGAGATGAAAGATTGTCACTGCTTTCCTATTCTCAAAACCTGGAATTTTCAAAGCTAATGAGGGCACTTTCTTATAGTCAGTAATGGTTAACTAACATCTAAATTCATGTTATCAGTCATTCCACTAATCACATTCTGAATTTTCCAAAGTATCTTTTTAATTGGAACTTCCAGATGTTGTATTTTCTTTTTTTAAGATTTATTTTAGCTGGGTGTTGTAGCACATGCCTTTAATCTCAGCACTTGGGAGGCATGAGCAGGTGTATCTCTGTTAGTTTAAAGACATCCTGGTCTACATAGTGAGTTCCAGGACAGCCAGAGATAGCCAGTCTTAAAATGACAACAACAAAAACTAAAAAAAAAAAATGTTTATTTTATTTTTACTGTGCCTTTGTGCATGTATCAAAGTCTGTGGGTGCCAAAGGAGGCCAGAAGGAGAGATCTGATCCCTTGAAACTGAAATAACAAATAATTTTAAGCTACCAGGTATGAATATTGGGAACCCGGGTCCTCTACAAGAGCAGCAAGCGCTTAACTGCTGAGCCACTTTCTCAGTCCCAGATACTATATTTTTGTATTCATGAGAGCCTGATGGGTCAATAACAAAAAGTGAAACTATCTTCTTACATTTAGGAAAACTGACACAAGAGGTAAAGTCAAGGGGGTGTTATTTCTCTAAAAATGACTCAATATTCCCTTGGGTTATGTGTTATGTGTGGCTAAAAGCTTGTTTTCATAGAGGCTGGAATTACAATTGACCTAGAAGCCTGTTCTCTTTTTCCTGGCAGGACCTAGAACTATCGATGATGAGGGAAAAGAACAGCACAGTTGTGAAATTCATTCTATTAGGATTCTCTGAGTTTCCAAAGTTGACCATTGCTCTCTTCTCAATATTCTTAGGGATCTGTCTCATGACACTATCCTGGAACATGTGCCTCATCACTCTCATCAAATTGGACACCCATCTACACACACCTATGTACTTTTTCCTCAGCAACCTCTCCTTTCTGGACATCTGCTATGTTTCCACTATTACCCCCAGGATGCTTCTAGACTTCTTCAGGAAGTACAAATCCATCTCCTTTGTGGGGTGTACCATGCAGTACTTCTTCTCAAGCCTGGGTCTGGCAGAGTGCTGTCTTCTGGCAGCCATGGCTTATGACCGCTATGCTGCCATTTGTAATCCTCTGCTCTACACAGCCATCATGTCCCCTTCCCTCTGTGTGCAGATGGTGGCAGGGTGTTGTATCAGTGGATTCTTTGGCTCATTTATCCAACTGTGTGCCTTGCTTCAGCTTCATTTCTGTGGGCCAAATGTCATCAACCATTTCTTCTGTGACCTGCCCCAGCTTCTGACCCTCTCTTGCTCTGATACCCTTTTCTTTAAAGTCATGGACCCTGTGCTCACAATGATCTTTGGACTTACATCTGTCTTGGTTATCATGGTGTCCTATGGTTACATCATTGTTACCATTCTTAAGATCACATCAGCTGAGGGTAGATCAAAGGCCTTCAACACCTGTGCTTCTCATCTGACAACAGTGACCCTTTTCTTTGGCTCAGGTATCTTTATATATATGTATCCTAACTCAGAAGATTACGTGAGTCAAAACAAGTTGACATCCATCTTATATATCGTTATAATCCCTATGCTAAACCCATTGATCTACAGCCTGAGGAACAAAGAAATAAAAGATTCTCTAAACAGATGGAATAAGAAGCTCTTTTCCTGATGTTACTAGTTACAGAACTCATGGTAGATAAATGTAGGTTGCTTTACATGTCTACTACAAACCAGGACAGGCACAAAATGAAGAAAATGTAAGAGCAATATACAGTTGCAACCAAAACAAGCAAACACACAAATCCAAGAAACAAAACCACCAATAAGCTAAAGTAGACAACAAGTATTTCATTAACTAGTTGTGGCAGTGTGAAACTTCATCTTGAACATCCCATCACTACAATGGCCACAGACACCAGTATTGGTCAATGTTGCCATGAGATCAACAAGATCAGGAGGCAGCAGATATTCCCATCTGTCTAAGAGAGGGATTACCATAAGTAACTGGAAGATATTTTTAAAAATAACATTTTTACTTAGTGTGTTGTATGTTCATGTGTGGTGTGATGCTTATATGCTCACACATGTGCTGGAGTCCTTGACTGTATATGTATGTGCGTATGCCAGGGGTTGACTCTAGTATTTTCCTTGTCCTACCTATTGAGACAAGGTCTCTTACTGAAGCCAGAACTCACAGTTTCCACAAGACTGGCCAGTAAGCTCCAAGATGCCTCTGTTTCCAGACTCTGTCCTCAGTGCTGGTGTTACAGATGTGGATACCCATGCTTGGTTTTTATGTGCCTACTACGGATCTAAACTCAGGTCCTCTTGATTACACTGCAAGCATTCTCTCCTGTCAACTTCTTTATTTTTTTGCTATTTTAAAAGGTATATTAACACAAAAGTGATGGGAGATGCCATTCTGTAAATATGTCTCTTATTGGTTGTTACATAAAGCACTGTTGGCCAATAGGGAAGTAAGATAGGTGGGACTAGGAGTTGAGCAGGATTCTGGGAAGGAGAAACACAGGGAGTCATCATGTAGCTTCCATAGGGGTAAGAAGTCTGGACCCTTTTCTCTAGTAAGAGAAATACTTAGATTAACAATTATGGGGTAAATACTTAAGTCAGAGCTAGCCAGTAAGAAACAAGCAAGGCCGACAGCTTCATAATTAATACAGTGTCTTGTGTATTGTTTGGGGACTACAACGTGGCAGAGCCCAGGCAACTGGTGGGGAAAAACCAAAGTGGCTGGCAAGGAAAAGGCTTCACTCAACACACAAGTATGCATATTAATGGGGTACTGTACTTATACATACAGTATGTGCTGTATAAATGATATTAAATACATTTGTCACTTCAAACATTTGATTTTCCAAAGTTAGTTCTCATATTGAGCTTGTTTTTTAACCTCTAGAAATTGTGGGTTGATTTTTTCCCTCTAGATTTACTCAACATATAATTAACCATGAAGATAAAGGGTTTGTTAACTTCACATAGACAGAAACTTGTAGCAGAGATGTCTAACACATTTGTCATGTTCAAGTTCTGTCACCTAGTTGACTGGGAAGTCATGTTATTGGGGTAGAGTTACTTATTGTTCTCCATCTTACATAACAACAAATTGGGAATCAAACATGAGCTCTCTGTTGGTGAGGTGATTATATTCTGATTTTGGCAACTTCTGCATGCCCGTATGTTACATTTTTAGCTTATTTAATAAAGAAAATTTGTATAGGAAGAAGTTTGCTGCTAATTAAAAAACTGAAATTTTTTGGTAAAAGTGACAAGAAACTGGACTTGTGAAAGCATAAGAAAATCTTAGTTTAGGGGCTGGAGAGATGACTTTAGTGATTTAGAGCACTTTCAGAGGACCGACTCAGTGGTTAAGAGCACTTCTCAGCACCCACAGGCAGCTCATAACCCTCTGTAACACTAGTCCTAGGGGATCTGATGCCCTCTTCTGCAGATACTAGACACACAAACTGCACTGTAGGGAGAGATCTTGGGCACCTACACCGCTGACCACTCCTGCTTAGGAGAAAAGAGACCTGTGGTCTCTTGGGGCATGATTGTGGTCAGAGATCAGAGTGTATTGACCCAGATTCTCCGCTTCTCATGTAAGTGACTTCTTCCTCTAAAATAAAGATAGTATGACCCCCCCATTTCCAGTATCCTTGGCATGGCTCCTATGCCATACATACAGGCACACACTCATAAACATAAAATTAAATATATGTATATGTATGTATTCACACACATATATATATATAGTTTTAAAGAAAATATTTTTAAGTATTTGTTCTTTTTCCTTTGTGTTTATAAGGGTTTAGTCTACATGTGTGTGTGGTACACATGAAGGTCAGAAGAGAGCATCAGATCCCCTGGAACTGAAAGTATGCATGGTTGTGAGCTACCATGTGGGTGCTGAGAATTGGACCTGGGTCTTCTGTAATAGCAACAAGTTGTTTTAACCCCTGAGCCATCACTGGAGCCCCATCAGAAAATCTTAATTTAGCCATTTCTCTTGGAGCCTTTGTGGGAATTGTGGAGAGTTGAGATTTCAAATACCGAGGAAAGGACACTGGAGAGAAAACATGCCCCTACTGTTTATCTCCAACTAGGATTCTGACTTCCTAGTTGGTGGTAAGAAGTTGGGGAAGTTTCCAAGAGATTGGTTCTAACAGATGTTGTTCTGGATACTTGTGGGGCTTCTTCTATGCTCGGAAATTCTAAATTTCCTCAAGCATTCATGAGGTAAGACTTATTACAAAGCTCCTGGAAAAGTGTCTAGATGTCCTGGCCTGACAAACCATGCCTCTGGAATAGAATCCCACTTCCAACAGCGGGAATGTGAAAGTGACAGCTGGCAATGTTACTGGACAGGATTTTGCTGAGGGAAGTTAGAGTTGGAGTCCCTAACCCAGATCTCATCTGTCTCCTTAATAAACACTAGCCTCTGATATTCTTCCATCCAAGCTTCCCTTTACTCCAACTTGAAGCTGAGGGTATTAGTTCACATATGTTCTGTGGTTGAAAAGAGAAATAAGTGAATGTGCCATTCCTTTTACTTGATTGGATTATCAATGGTTTTATTGTCATCATATAATAGATTATCAAGATGTATGTATGCTTAAAGCTAAGGTACTGACCTGATCTGCAAAAATGCTTCATTGTGTAAAATTCAATTCTATAAAGGAACAAAAATCCACTTTGGTTTCATCTTCAAATCATCTATAGGACACAGTGAATAGTGTGCATGTCTTTGTGTATAAATTTGACAAACTTGTGTGAATAAAATAATTGTGGTCAACATCTTGCTGGTCTTGGTAGTTTTCAAAGAAATAAATGTACATTATATGCTGCATTAAGGGAATTTGCCTGCAGTTCTTAATTTTTTTAAATTCATTTTTGGTGGAGGCCCCCTATTGGACCAGAGGCCATGCCAGCCACCACAATTCCAGGTAGTCCTCGTGCCTACAGACATTCCCCACTCTCTGGGTGTCTGCTAGCCTTACCCCTTATCCTCTCTCCTCTCTTCATCTCCATGTCCCAAGCCCCAACATGAGCAGAGACCCCTTGCTCAAAGAGAGGCAATGTCAGCCACCAGAAATCCAGAACTCATGACTCCCTGCTCAACCACAGACCACACCAGTCAGAAGACCAGAAAGGAAACATAAACCAAGCAACAAATCACCAATCCAACAAAGACAAACTCAGAAATTGGCACGTAGACCTATAATCTTCCAGAACCCAGAGGCCTAGACACCAGCATGAGAACACAATCAGCAACAGTCAGGGCAACATGTCACCAAGAGAGCCCAGCTACTGTACCATACCAGGCCCTGAATATTCCAACATAGATGCAGCACAAGAGAAAGACTGTAAAACCTACTTTGTGAAAATAATAGAGATCCTTAAAGAAGAAATGAATAAATCCCTTAAGAAATCCAGGAAATGGCATACAAATGGACTTTGGGTGCCCATCCCACATCGAGGGATGCTCTCTCAGCCTGGACACATGGGGGAGGGCCTAGGCCCTGCCCTGGATGAAATGACAGACTCTGGAGATCCTCCATGGAGGGCCTCACCTCCCTGAGAAGCAGAGTGGGGATTGGGTGGGAGGATGGGGGTTTGGTGGGAGGGGGAAGAGGGGAGGGAGCTGGAATTGACACGTGAAGCAACCTTGCTTCTAATTTAAATTAAAAAAAAGATAAAAAAAGAAATCCAGGAAAACACAGTTGAAAAAACAAAATTGTTTAAGACATGAAAATGGAAATAGAAGCAATAAGGAAAACACAAACTGAGGGAATTCTTGAAATGAAGAATCTAGTTAAGAGAATAGGAACCACAGCTGCAAGTATCACCAACAGAAAACAAGAGATGGAAGAATCTCAGGCATTGAAGATATGATATAAAATGTTAAATCTAAAAAATAATAACACAAACATCCAGGAAATCTGAGACTCTGTTAAAGGACCAAACCAACAAATAATAAAAACAGAAGGAAAAGATGCCCAGCACAAAGACCCAGAAAATATTTTCAACAAAGTCATAGAAGAAAATTTTCCTAAAAGAGGGTATGCCTACCTGAACATGGTAGATAATTTTTCTGATGTGTTCTTGGATTCTGTTTGCCAATATTTTATTGAGTATTTTTTCATCAATGTTCATGGGGGAGATTGGTCTGTTTATTTTTCTTAGTTGCATCTTTGTGTGGCTTGGGTACCAGGGTAACTATAACCTCATAAAAAGTATATAGCAATGTCCTTTCTGTTTGTGTGAACAATTTGAGAAGTATTAGTATTAGTTCTTGAATTTCTGGTTGAATTCTGTACTGAAAACATATGGCTTTGGGCTTTTTTTTTTTTGGTTGGGAGACTTTTGATGACTGCTTCTATTTCCCTAGGGGTTATAGGCTTGTTTAAATTGTTTATCTGTTCTTTATTTAAATTTGGTATGTGATACCTATCCAGAAAATTGTTCATTTCCTTTAAATTTTCCAATTTTGTGGAGTTTTTTAAGTATGACCTAATGTAATATACCCTATAAACAAAGTGAAAAAAACCACATGATCATCTCATTATATGCTGAAAAGCCTTTGACAAAATCCAACACCCCTTCATTATAAGGTCTTTGAGAGATCAGGGATACAATGAATATACCTAA